TGGAGCACCGAGTACCATTCTGGTACGGTGCTCCAGAGGGTCCACCCCCCCTCCCAAGCTCCTTACCTGTATTTGGGCTCTTATGCGCAAGGAGCACACTGTGCCTGCGTGACGCTCCGCCAAGCAGCTGGAGCATCACAGAGGTGTTCCAAGAGATAAGTACGCATGCGCGTACTGTGCGTGTTCATGTGGAGCACGCCGGAACCCACCACTTCAACAAGATTCTACCTCTCTCTCTTTCTCTCTAACTCTGTCTGTGTCTATGTGTAACTATGTGTCTATGTTTCTTTGTTTTTGAACTGGATAACTGTTTTATCCTAAAACCTTGGCACCCTATAAAAACACCTACTTTCTTGTTTGTTGTTATTTGGTGGTGGTCTTTTCAAACTCCTGAGTGTCCACAATGAACCAAGGGATATCCTCAAATTATTGTGGAATAGAAGTTAGAGCTTTCCCTCAATATCACCCTCAGATGTATAAAATTATTGGTAGATTAGTTTTCCTATTCCCCAACAGTCTGTATGTAACTGATAGGAGGGAAACAGCAATACAGATCCTATCAGTTACATACAGATTGCTGGGAACAGCAACCGGGGCACAGAGGTATATTGGAAACAAGGGTGGAGCCGCCAGAATGTCATCAAGAGAGCAACAGATTGGCCTGTCTTAGATCAAAGAGATCCTTTGAGAGGGTCTCTGTGCTCTTCAAATAGTTCTTATGATTGAGATCCTTTAGCTTTATTGCAAAAGTATTTCCTGGCTTCAGACTCTGTCATATTCTGCCTTGTAATTGAATACATTTCCCCTCCTTTTAACCTTATGAAAACTTAATTTAGATGCATCCCAGGACTAACACACATTAAAATGAATTTGTTTTCTCCTTCAACAAGTGTTTACAGCTGTAACACTAAAATAGGTTGGTTCTGTCCTTTACCCGGCCTGATTTGCTCAAATTCTGCATTGCTTATATATGTGAATTGTATCTCCCACTAAAAAAACCTCTGCAAAATTAGGATTGGGGTAAATCTTCATTGCTCAAAACCCCAATACTTATGGTTGCGATTTGTAAGGACTTATACTGCTCTTTTATTTAACTAAGATGATAGAAAATAGGCGAGTAAGGATTCTTATACTTCAATTGTAAAATAAGTTTTAGATACAATAATACTTAAATGTACCATTGAGGCATTTCTAGGATAGGAGTGGGAAGAATGGTAAATATAAGTAGAAGTCTGTTTTCTAAAATGATACATATGAACATAGGTATACCTGAGAATACATGTAAATATACTATGATGAGAATTGGCAACAGCTTTATGCTGAATGTGTTGAGTGGCAAACTTGAGTGGTTGCCTATGTAACAAGTACTATCATTAATGCAAAGGCAATCAATGTCTAGTTATGAAGGCAGTAAGTTATGTTTTTCAACACCAGTTGTTGGGAAAAAATGATCAGGATGATGCTGTCATGATTTCTCAGCCCCTTTGGGGTTCTCATTGGCATCTTATTAATTACTGTAAAAATAGAATAGCAGACTAGGCATTCTAATCCAAAAGAGCTCTTCTTATGGCATATGCGCATGGATAGAGGTCTTTTATTCAAATGCTGCATTAGCTACAAGCAGAAGTTTAAACAACAAAATGCCAATCATACAGTTACCAGTAGTGTTTTTATTGAAGAATGAAACATAAATATTCTTACACGGTGCTTCTACACAAATATGATAAGGGATTCGTGTAACTTCCTCTTGCCACATAATTTCAGTGCATGCTTTTATGAAGGTTTAGAAAGGACCTTATTGTCCTTGACATGGAATTAGTAGCATAACATAATTGTATGCAGCCTCCGTAGTTCCTGTATAGGGCATGACCACAGTTGATGAGTTTCTCATTCAAGTAACCCTCGACCTCATAAAATTGGGCTCATACCTAAGCCCACCCTTTATAATGCCAGATTTTTTTCTCATTTTCTGTCCATGCAGTTAACGTAAACGTGGTTTTAAAATACTGTTTTAACAGAATCAATTTCATGGTGAATGCATCTAGTCAAACAAGCCATTTAAACAACATCTTACTCGTGTGTAGCAGACCATTTTACAATTACTTGATAGTTTTACAAGTCTGTGTTTCAGACAGGGTAATTGGTTGTCTCTGATATGTGAGTTTGGGAATTAAACTCATTAACTTCATTCAGTGATCAGAATATTTCTTAGCAAACTTTGTTGTTCTGCAGTGGTGCCATTTTTAATGGCAGTTATATTTTAATATATTGTAGTTAGAATGCAAGAAAATAAAATAAATTAAAGAGCAAATTACATATCAAGTCACGGGGTATATCTTTCTAATACCTATTATAATTTTAGTACTGCTTAATAAAATTGGAATTTTCTATGATATTGCAACATAGCAGTATAACCACTTGGTAACTTCATCATAATCATTTTTTGGACTTCTGTGCATTCTATGAATAAAAGGAACAAAATAATTGTAAATAAATTTTCTTAGACACAGGGTTGCATTGATGTATGTAGACTAAGCTCTTTGAAGCAACTTTCATTGGACATAGTATCTTGTAATTTAGCAATGACATTTCAAGGCCATAATAATTGCTTCTAAAATTTTGGCAACCTTTGACCATGTTCCCTCTGCCATCCATTCTCTGCATTTTCCGTTTTGAATGTTCCATAATCCTTCTGTATTGCAACTGAGAAAACTGAAAAATAGCATCTTTGAGTCAAAAATAAGTTGAGTTTGATAAGAAAATAGCCATCTAAACTAAACAAATGTACCAATTTCTATTATTATATTTCCAATCTTAGCTTTAAATTCATACTTGGCCATACCTTGCCAGTTGATTTTATTTTTAACTCCATTTAAGTGGTCAGAGTTATTGCTTTTCTCTTATTTCAGCAACTACAAATACTTAGCTATTTAATGGAAACCATATTTACAGTGATATATGATCTTAAATAATAAGAAAGCTTAAAGCTTGACTAAGTTTTGTGTTGCAGAAATGCAAATTTTATATTTTTAATTGTGTGTTTTGTAGTATAGACAGTTATTGATTTAATATTCTAAAATCAGTTTCTATATTTTGTGTGGTTAACTGCAAGATTGATTGTCTTTCTGTCTGTCTGTCTGTCTGTCTGTCTGTCTGTCTACCTATTCAGTTTCTATAGCTGCCCACCTCAATCCCATTGATTGAACAATGGTTGGGTTAGCTTACCTAACAACCATCTTGCTTAGCTTTGGAAATTCTGGTTCCAATTGTGCTTGTTTAGCACTGTGGTTAAGATATGGTGTCTGAAGTTGTTGATCCTAGTATTGTTGCTGCTGTTTTAACCATTCGGCTGTATCCAACTCTTGGCAACTTTATAGGGAAGTGCTCTCCATGCTTCCCTGTGAAACACAGCTCCTTTCAGTTGTTGGATGTTCATCTTTGTATCAGTTTTGATGGCATCAAGCCAGCATGTTCTTTGCTTGCCTTCTCTTCTTCTTCCACTAACCATTCCTAGCATCATTGACTTTTCCAATGCATTTGTATTAGTATTAGTTTTTGAATACTTAATTTAATTAGTATTAAATAGTTAACACTAAGTATTTTAATCAAGCATTGGTTAAATACTATTAAATATTTAATACAAATACTTTAGTATTAGCTATTAGTATTTGTTTCTCTTTAATATATTTCTACAATTTATTGACAACCAAAAAAAGAAGTTAAAGGGGGCATATCTCTATTGTATAATGAAATGTACAATATTTTTAGATGGTATAATATACATTGAATCACTTTCTTCACAATTAGTCCATGTGCTACCTTTATCTAAACATTTAGGGAAAAATAAAGCCTCAGGATCTGTTGTCCCATTAAATAAAATTAATGGGACAACTTAGACTGCAAATGCTGAGAAGGGAAATTAATAAAAATCCCTTAAATCATTTGCTGTCCTCAGATGTGGTGGATATTCTTTTATTATTGGATTTTGAAATAAGACTAATTTAAACCTGTTTAGATGTAAATGAAAGACTTTCACAAAATGCCAGGGCTATAGACTTTACTAAAAAGTTGAGAAAACATCCCCGACAAAGGCAATCCACTTCTGCATTATGGCCAAGAATACAGTCTGAAGGTCTGTAGGAAGTCACCAGAATTCAAGCTTAACTTGAAGAAAGCTTCTGTAGTTTGTGAGTGGAATGGAGGAAGAAAACTAATTTAGACGTTGTATTGGGCTGCAAAATTTTTGGTCTCCTTCTTTACTTTTCATATTTCATATTTGGGCGTACAATCAGCTTCAGGCATACCAGCACCTGTTCTGAAATCTCCATGATTCTTATTTTATGACGCCTTTGTTAGTCTGGTATTCTCAAGATTAAATTCATATCCATAATTTGCATAAATGCTCACCAGTCAATTCAGTTAAATTCAGAGTAATCCTTGCCCCATTACATACTATATACATATGCTTTCAAAAAACACATCTTAAATTGGTTTTGACAGCTGTTTATACTTGATTTGTAACTTTTAGGATGTGTGAAATCCAGTGAATTAAATCACTTTCAATCTGCTGTCTGAGGGATGTTGATCTGAAACAAAATTATCGTAGTTACTAATAATCATTCTGAATATTTCAGTCATATAACTTTAAATGGAATTTGATGTTTGTCTATTTCATTAAAATTAGTTTTGGGTTTGTAAATATGTCTTTATATTATCTTCTCTTGGGGAATTTCAACATACTTATTCACCCAAATATCTCTAATATCTCTAATTTAGAAAGTTGTAATGTATTGTATAATGGAAAAATAGCATTTAGACAAACTAGTTATCCATAACATAAATATATGCAGTGCACAAGATCAACTTGGTGTAAAGAACAGCAAGAAATAATTTCAAAAATGAGCATTCAGCCATTTCTATTTTGAAAAGAATATATGGTAAACCGGCAAATAAACAGAACTAATTTTTTAAAATGCTGCTTTTTCTCTTTTTTTAAATAGATCAAAAAGTATTTGGAACTTGAACCACTTGCACGAGGGAAACGTTGGATACTTAAACCCTGTTCCTTGGATGACATGGCGTCAGTAAAAGACAGCTTTGGCTTTCTGATAAATTTACTAGAAGACAGAGATCTTGAGCCTTTAAGGATGTGAAGAAAACAAGGATGGTTCTCAGATAACATTGTACCTGTTTGTCTCTCTTTCAGCTGAATTATGGTTTGGCATACAGAAGGATGTGTTAGAGCTTGCAATAAATATATTTTTGCATTAATCCCAGAAAGTCTGTTTATAAATTCTGTGAATCAGATTTATGATTCATTTCAGTAATGGCGCCTATACTACTGAATCGTGAATTCTTGTTATTTATCAACAAATCAATTTGCTGTATCAGAGTTTCCTGGATTGTAATAGCCATAATGCCGAATTTTGCTGGTATGGGCAAAGTTTAAATCCAGCTGTAAAGGGAGGCCCAAAGTTTTGTGGAAATTACAGTCATTGAGAACCAGAGTAAGTTTCGAAACCAAGGAATTTATTTTGATGCAATGAAAAGAAGATTTTTCAAAGAATGTATCCCACCCCTACTTTTTAACACAATTGATTTTTTTGAAAGAAAATAATAATAATAATAATAATAATAATAATAATAATGCAAACCATTAATTTAATAGGAAGGGTGAGAAAAACCTCATTCGTCAAACAATGAAAATATTAGTATTTTGTTAGGATTTGGAAGTCTCAAGTGCAAATTGCATTTGTAAATTAAAATTAAGTTGATGATTGTATAAAAATGATGATGAAATGGAATTGTAGTTAAAAACAAGAAATAAGAACAATAAGTAAGTTTAAACAATCATTGGATGTATTATTCATGACTAGTGTTATGCTGGAATTCCTAGCCCTTGGAATTATTGAAAAAATAATTCATTGTCTCTGAATTATATTTGAAAGTCTACTGTCTATATTTTTAAATACCCCTATTTTCAGGGGATTAGATTTCTTTTAAATTTTATTCCAGACTGAATATTGTAAAAAAAAAAAAAAGCTTCCTGATAATAGAAATTTCTGTTGTTTGTTATACATGACAACACTCCATTGAGTTCCAAGAATGTATCCATCTTCTAGTTTTGCTTATTTTGGAAGATTGCTTCAAAATTTAAAACTGCCTTGTTCATAATACAGCACTGAATTGCTCTTAAGTTGAATTTGTATATTAAATATTAGAATCCTTGATCAAAACTAGAGTGGAACTGCACTCTAGTTGAGATACTGCAGCATTTGGTTTTATTTCTTCATTTTCTGCTTGATTTTTCTTTAATTTTAAAACAACTGAAGAAAGAAATCCCTTGCAAAGAATGCCATATTTTACATAATTTATACCTGTACATAATTGAGAGATAAAAGTGATTTCTTCTATAAATCTCTGTGTTAAAAACATTTACCCCCTCCCCTGGGAAACAGCCAGTTTTACTTTTGTTTATTTCTGATGCCACATGTATATAATTATTTGTATATAATAGTAGTGGTGAGATTACCAAATGTAGAAATTATAGTAAACCAAAACCTAAACATTGTAATGCTAATTGATTTTTTGACATCACCACTTTTTCCATCCTGCAATGCCATTTCTATAGTGATAGGCATTTTGAATTATACAGAGTAATCCTTGTTTAGAAAGCATGTGGCAGTATATAAATTAAATAAATAGGTTCTTTCAATTCATGTTTTATAACTCTCTAGCTCCATCACAAGAAACTATCATATAAGAATATGATAATTTTCATAGACTCAAATCATTCTTCATTTACATTGGGGGGGGGGAATCCCATTTATATAAATATGATTAAAATCATTTAAGAGGAAACAATGAAGCTAACTCTGTAACCATAATTGGGTCCTATTGGTCTCTTTAAAGGAATACCATGACCAGCAGGTAAGAGTCAAACAATTTTGCCACCACTAGTCATTAATTTACCCCAAATCTAGTTAAAAACTGATTTAAAAAAGTTATTTAGGAGTAAAAAAAAATAGTCCCTTTATAATACAAATTATAGACTAGGATTCTATTCCTAACTATAATAAGGAGTAAGCAATGTATTCTGTGGAGTTTTCCTTTGATTAACATACATACAGTCCACCTGCAGAACTTTTATGAAAATAAATTTTACAAAAATGTTATTTCTCTAAGAATTTCCATCAAAAATGTTTGACTTTTGTTCTACTTGATAAAAAAAAGATACTTGATCTGCTAAATGACTTCAAATCATCCCTTTCATTTTTAATGTCTGTTGGATTCCATTTTGGAGTTGTGGTTAATATCAAAAATACTTTTGTATTCCTGAACACCTCACTTTTCTTAAAAATTATATTAAAAAGCATGACCTACTTAAAGTGTTCTTGAATGTATATTAATCAGTAAGCAGTTTTTAACCCTGCTCTATTCCTTCCTCCCCACCCACCCGATCTGGCATTCCATTTTAAACGACATAAAATTCCCTTTCCATTTTCTAGCTGACACTGCTGAGAAAAAAAAATCACCACTACTGAATATTCCTGCTTTGTTTTAATTGGGGAAGTTGTGGTGCTACACTTCCAGGCATCTGTTAAATTACTTTCTGGGTGCGTTTGTGAGGGTGCTGGTGCCCGTGTTGGGCTTTTTCTGAGACTGATGACTGTCTGCAGCACTTGAGCAGTAAGAATAAAAACACAATCAATCAGTACCCCACTGCAGCTGTTTGGACAGGTTTCTGCCAGGTTCGAATGCTTTACAACTGTCAGTGGCTCCTTTTGTCTGCTCAGAGTGTTGCTTGATGTTTATATCGTGTGCTCATATCCCCCCAAAGTGCTCACATTTTTAAACTTTTAATGTGTTCAGTGTTTTTGCCTGTCCCATATAATGTGCCTGTGCCACATGTCTGCAATTACATATTCAAATACTGTAACCCGATGTATGTGTTGTATTATTGAGCTTCTTGCATTTCATTATTTATAGAGGTTAACAGATTTTTGTACTTAACTAGCTAACCCAGATGCCCTTTTTTGTAACAAGTAATTTATATTATAAAGATTTGTATCTCACTGTACTTAAAAACAATGATTGATAGCTAACTCTCCATATATCCCTGACTTTATACTAAAATGCAGCATTGTTAACAAATTTCAGGCAGAAAACTGCCATGCAGAAAGAATTGTTTTGTGATTTATATAGTTTACGCTAACCACAATAAATGCTGTGTAGAACATTTAAGTATGTTATGTTTTAAATTGGGTTTCATATTCAATAATGTGTTTGGGATGGTTATTCATATCCACAAATACTTTGAAAGCACCCAACCATTCCATGAAATACAGAATACAGAAGCAAGTCATACAATAATTAGTTAGAATAATTTATATAATCAAATTAAGGCAATGCTTAACACTAGCAAGAAAAGGAAATGCTTTACCTTAAGTCTTTCCCAAACCAGTGCTTTCTAGATGTCCAGTTCATCCATTATCTGTAACTACAGAAAAATGTTTACACTGGAATACAGCAGCCAATAAATCTTATAGAATGATAGATAGAATCTCAAGCAGAAATTGTATTTGATCCTGCGGAATTCACATGGATTGTCAGTGTTCATGTTTGGCTGTTTATATTTCCCCAATAAATAAAATGGTTTCTTCTCCCAGGGAAAATAAATAGCCATCAGAACATGCATCAGTGCTTAAGTTGCCTGATTGAAAAGTTTGTAGACTTTTTTCCCTCAAAATGTACCGGTATGTTTTCTCAAAATTCTTTTGAAATACAAAAGATGCCAAATTGCAAATGTCAGTCACCTGAGGAACATCAACAAGTTATCAATGGCCAGAATCTAAAGAGCTTTTTTCCTCCTTCTGAAATATCCCTGTAGGAATATTGAATGCATTTTAAAGAGGTCCATTCAGGAAGTCTTTTTGAAATTTCCCTACATAGAAAAAGCAGTTTACTCTGCAGCATAGGGAGCTACTCTATAAGGCAGGGATGTCAAATTCAAGGCCCATGGGTCGGATTCAGCCTGCAGAGTACTTAGATCTTGCCCGCAGGCCATCCTGGAAACAGCAAGGGACCGGTCCATGATGCTTCTATCAGCAAAAACAAGCTCAGGAGGGCTGTGGTCTCTCGAGCTCCGTTGTCAGCTGCAATGGCCTCCTGCAACCCTCTGCCAGGGAAAATGGAGCCCAGGAGGGCCGCCTGTGGCCCCCCTGAGCTCTGTTTTTACTGGCAGAGTGCTTAGGCTACCACAGGGGCCCCTGAAATGAGTAACATCCAGCCGACCACGCCCACCCTGGCCACCCCCCAGGTCAAACACAACCCTGATGCAGCCCTCAGTGAAATTGGATTTTTGAACCCCTGCTATAAGGAAAACTCTATAAGGAAAACATTGCTACTACTTATGAGTTTATGGAGGCTATGAAGACTGGCTGATGATATATTCAAAATCAATCACTATCTCCATATGCTAATATTTGTTTTATACAGTAAATATATGAACTTAAAAGGAGGAATATAGTGAAAGCGAAAAATAAATGAAAGACACATTTCATTAGTGTTTCCAAAGAAGTGAGGTGAGAGACATTTGTCATACTATCGTAATTCTAAATTATACAGTTCTGATGTGAGAAAGTATTTCATGTTGATTCAGTTTTGTAGGATTTTTTTGTTCTGAATGAGGAGTCTGAAACTAGAATCTTAATATATTCTCTAATGTTAAATATTCCAGTAATGTGTAGAGGGAGTAAATGTTCTATACATGAAATAGCAATCTGTATATATGTTGATCCCAAGCACTCTAAATGAATCCTTATTTGCAACCCAGATGCACTTACTCTAGAAAAGTACACACACAAATAAAATTGTGTGCATCTAGATTTTTATATTCTATTTCCAATAATGACTTACATTTTGAACCTCATTTGGCAAATATAAGATCTAATTTTCTCACACTGAAAATTGCTTTCTCCTCAATAAAATGCCCAGCCACAGTCTACATGCATCCAAATATTGATCAGCTGATAATTTACTCTATCTGCAAATAAATATATTAAGAATTTATAGATGCTTCTTTTAAAAACCCATTTCATATAATGCTGAAGGTGTGAACCACAAATACTCAGTAATGGTGGATGGTCCCCACCAGACTATTTTAAACCTGATGAATTTGTTCACTTGGAATGCTTCACTGACTTGCTTCCCTACCTTTAAAGTAATGAGTATGACCTTAGTGTGACAGTAAATAAGGTAATACACGGCTGCTAAAATAATGACATGCATTAATGGTATAAGGAATGTTTACTCTGCATTCCTATCTTTTAGTGTCCACAATTAACCTGCTCCACAGCTGCAAAAATAATTCTGGCCAACAGTGATAAATTGACAACACTTCTCTCCATGGATGTGGCAACAATATTTATAGAAGTTACTACAAACAAATGTGTACCAAGACATAGTGACATGTTTTGCTAATTTTAAGAGCAAGGATGTGCCATGAATACAAGGTATCTATGCTACGTTAATTAAAAACAAATGTATTCCTGTTTTATTAAAATTGGAAGATTCAGTAAGTTTGTGGGTTTTTTTCTCCTGTAATGTGTGTTTGTGGTACTTGCCACTGACTTATCCAAATGTCTAATATGCATAGGAAGTATTCATATACATAGGTCAGAGACAGGAATAAAATCAGACTCACCTGATACTCATTCTTGATCCATAATAAGATTTACCCCTTCCTCTTGCCGTATAGATTGTAAAAGCAGGATTATGAACTCCCGACTTATGTTTTCCCTTTCCAACCCTCCCAATATTTCATGACTAGGATCTGCACTCACTATTAAGACGGCCCCAGTGGTTTCCAGTGAAAAGTGACCAATTTAACAGCAGTTGGTGTAATAGATGATGAATAAACTTTTTCCATTTACTTTCTACACAATTTATCTCAGAATGAATGTCACAGATTCTTTTGGTATGTGGATGCATACTTTGACTATTAACTCTGAAATATATGTAGCTTGAAAACCAAAACTTCCTTCTCATTTTTACCATTTTTTTAATAAAGATTAAAATCAAACAAAAACTTCACCAAGAACTATCTTAGGACACAGCTGGACATCTGATCTTATTTTTTTGTAGCTGCCATCTGAATATTCAAAATTCTGAATGAAAACAAGAGAGAAAGAGATTCGTTCAAATACAGTAGAACCTCTGGTCACAACCATAATTTGTTCCATAATTTTGGTCACAAACCTATTTGGTCGTGACCTGAACCTAATTTTGGAAATTTGGCACTTACAAAAAAAATGGTGCGGAAGGGGAAATTGGCCATGGAGGGGAAAATGTGAATGTTTTGGTCAGGACCAATTTGGTCATGGTCAGAAGCGTTTGTGACTAGAGGTTCTACTGTATGAATGGACATATCCTATGAAGCTCAACTGCCAAATACATCAATGGACTCCACATTTATTTTCTGCTTGATACTGAAAAAATAGAGTTATAATAGAGTTATAAACCAATTTTTTTGGGGGCGGGGGTGTTAAGTACATCTATAATTGGAAAATTGTATGGTTATGGGATTTGTTAGCCTTGTCAATTAAAAGTAATGAAACAATAACACAAAAAGCCAGCAATAATATTTTACTTTGCTCTGAAAGTGCCAACGTATAATTTTCTTCCCAAGTAACTCTTTAAATCAAAATTAATAGAGAGCTAGTTTGGTGTAGTGGTTAAAGTGCTGGTCTAGAAATCAGGAGACTGAGTTCTAGATCCACCATGCAAAGCCATCTAGATAACTTTGGGCCAGGAACTTTGGGTCTCGGGAAAATAGGAAGAAGTAGTTCTATATCAATTTCATATATATGCATCATATTTCATATATATTGCACCATAACAATTTGGCACTCAATTATTTTAATATAGTTGGATTATATAGACATGTAAATATATTCAGAGAGGTCCTAGATTAGTCTTATGTAATGGAAATAAGCCATCCTAAATTCATTATGATTGGTACTTTTGATTATGAGTAATATGTTCACAGAAGCCTAGGCAAATAATAAACACACTATTTTGACATTTTAATTGGAATAATCAACTTCTGCAGTGAAATCTGAAATTGACAACAAGGTTTCAGATTTTTGAAGTCATTTTGTTTTTATCATAATTTGTGTATTATTTTTCATGTTAGAGTGCAAAGTAGGTTATTGATCAGATTGTGTCCATATAATAATTTATGCAGAGTAACTAATTCCTATCTTGCATTACCTCTGTATCACTGTAACAGTTTTTTTGTCATAAAATTATAAAGTTTGAAGTATCTATAGGTCTATTTCACCCATTATTATGTTCATCTTGCCTGAACATATGAAGGGAGGTGAGGTTACCACTTCTCTACATAATTGGTTGAATTACTCTTGAATTGGAGAGTTTTAGCATTAAAACATTTAATCTAACTTTTAATCAAATCTGCCTTCCTATAATTTGACTTTCTAGGTAAAGTCAGGTTTCTGAAAAATGCTGTTTTATTCTGCAATGCCACCATCCATGTTAATTTTTTCCCTCAAGGTTAAACATCAGATCTTTCAATTTCTGTATACAAAACTTAGTTTCTAGTTTCTCTGAGGATCCAGTTCTTGTTTATGGCAAATATATAATAAAGTGGAAGAACTATTTTTGATACTTAGAAACTATACCTCTGTTGATGTTCATTTCGGCCCACAAGTTGGGAACATTTGTTGGTGGAATAGATTAATGATATTCTTTTAGTACAGAACATTGACAATGGAAGATCAGGATCCATGCTGTCTGCAAGCATTTTCTCTAGAGAACCATGCCGCTTGGATTTAAGTAATGGGAAAAAATATACTATATATCTTCAGAGGGAAAGCTACTGTATAGCAACATTTCAATTTGATTTTTTTTCTTTTCCAGCAAAGAATAATTAGCTCTGTAGTATCATCCTTTCTGAGTTATTGTACATAACTTGATTTATATCTGCTTCCAAATTGTTGACTTGCAATTTTCACTTAGCAAATTAGAATCTTTCATTTCCTATTAAATCAGGTATTGCTTCTGATGCAACTAGCTCATAGGATCTTCAAAATATCATGGCCGGGAAGATGGAAGTAGCTGGTTTTGGGGAAATTTGCTGGGTTCAAGAAAAGGACAGAAGATGAAGAGCCTAACTAACTAAGAAGTAACTTGATGGGCACCTGACTCTTTCAGCATTCATCATC